GCTTACCAAAGAACTGTACATCACCGGCGCGCCGCTCCTCGCTATCAGACGCTACGAATTAAATATAGAATGCAAGCGATTAAAGAAAATTATTAAGGCCAGATGGGGCAATCTGTGGCGTTCAAACGATCCTCCGCTCCTCCGAGAGTGGAGGGAAGCTTTATCGCCGCGAATTATCGTGCCCCCATTACACCGCTAATTGGACCACGATTTTGCTCATTGTTTCTCCCGGCCGTGCACGATTTCCAGCTAAACTCATTGCTTTCATCGTCCCGTTGTCCACGTGTATCAACGACATTAATTACCATCCTTTTTTCCAAAGCGACAATAACGTTCGACGTCCAATGGTCGTCCGTTTCCTCTCTCTTTCTCTTTCTCAATCATGATCGCTGTTGGTCGGTTCTGGATTTCTGAGTGGATTGCAAGAGCCACATTGTCGGTATCAATTTGTTAATGCGAAAGTCTGCCTATTATCACGAAGAGAGAGAGAGAGAGAGAGAGAGAGAGAGAGAAAAGTTAGCACTACGAATGGAGTGATCTACAAGCGCGAGAAGTTGCGCAAGTGCAACTCCGACTGGTCCAGCTTCACCGAAGGAAATAGTGTCCATTCGCGTTTCGCAAACCGATCCTTCTTCCCCAGTACCACTTTCCGCGAAATGTTTTCGCAGTCATTAGGCTGATCGGTGTTCAAAGTTGCGCTTGTACGCAGTTGGCGATCGTGCGACCGAGTGAAAATCCAGAGAGAGAGAGAGAGGATCGGTGATCACAGTTTGACATTTTCTCATACGTCGCATACCATCGGAAAAACCGGGTTGTTTCGCTTGTTCGTGTCGGCGCTGTTCCGAAACGAATGGAATCGCGAAAGAGAATGGTATTTCATTGGGCACGTTAATTGCCGATGTTCAGAAATTTCACGTCGACCGTCAGTGAAATTGAGCTCGTTTCATCGAGCCGGATATATTCAGCGGAGCTTTCAAACCCCTTCCCTTCCACCGTGAAAATTTTGATAGAGAGAATCGAATAGTATGAAATTTCTCGCTCGCGACCGGCAAGTTTTCTGCCCTCCAACCGTTCCTCCTAGCGTGGAGCGTGAGCCGCCACGCGGTGGCTCTTTTTTAATAACACCGTGGGACAAGAATGAATTTTCTTTTGCTTCAATTCGCCCAGGAAATTTAATAATATCGCCGAGGCAAGACGAGTCGCGCGACCGTGCGAGGAACGAGGAGGAAAAGAAAGGGGCGGAAGATGAAATTTGGAGCCGTATAAACGGTAGCTTGGGGAGTCGTTAGGTATTAAACTCCCTACTAACTTTAGCGTGATGTTGCCTCTGCGCACCGAGCACCGTATATATATTACATATATACGTGTATATGTATATGTGTATATTTGAAAATCTCGAAAGTAGCCATGAATCTCGAGGCGACATATTGGTGCACCGGGATCTGCACCGAGGGGAAAAAAATATAACGTTGAAACTTACTACGAGTGCGACCTTGTAAATCACTCGCAACATTTTGACCAAAGATACTGCTTCTAATGTATTGAACTGAATATACGGTTTCTATCTTGTATGCCTATTATATGAAATTTTATTAGTGTGACGCTGTAGATATTGGAAATTAAACCTGAAATTGAATACGTGAAAGCTATCAAACATTTTGCAGACACCATGAAACGATCAATTTAATTGTATATTGATAAGCTTAAATATTCAGCGGGGCCATGTTTAACACTGATTACATATTTAAGACCACTGTTTACGTTAATGAGGGAAACATTGCTCGATAATTTGGTGAAAATATAATTCCAGCAACATTAATAAACGTAAGTAATTTTTCGTTCAGTCGAACAAACGATTGATAAAATCAACGTCATATTGCAACTCTTTTCCATACATGTATTTATGCATTTCCCGATTGATTTTAAACGACAAACGTGTTTCATTATGCCGCTAATAAAAATTTTAAAATGTTTTGCACACACGTACGCGCATGAAACGCAGACGTAAAAGTGTTTTTTATTACACGTCGCGTAATATCCTTCCCAATGCGAATTTAACGTCACTGATCATTGACCGATGGATTTATTCGAATATCATTCTTCGATCTGAATGAATCTCGGCGACAGGCGTATTCGAAACACGGCCAGACTCCGAAGATCATCGACTAATGCCGCGTAACCGAAAATCCATCGATACCCTGCCACTCTAATTAAACGCTCAATTGACCAATAGTGTATCGGGGCAGCCAATTAACCATCCTTGATACCCACCCTCGACAAAGGACGAGAAAGTGGATCGTGCGCTGATGTCCGGAATCCGTCGTGATCTTCTGGCCACGAGGCGCCAGAACTAGAACAGACTGCCGAGGAAATTGTGTAAACCGCAGATCATGGCCTCTGCCACCACCAACGCCGTTCCATCGGCAGTGAATCAAATCGCGCCTCGACAGAGATTTATATCGCGCCTCTTTACCTCTGAATCCTCTCTTCCCCCACCAGCTCGCATTAACCAAGGAATTTCCAATTGCCGATTCCCAATTGATCGGAAATTGGTATTCTCCCTATGATTTATAATTCCCAACGGTGTGTCTGGTGTTTAGCCTTTAGAAAGCAGAGTTGCGACGTGATTTGCTAAACTATAATATCCCGACAGATCGGTTGTTTTAAATCGTAGTCCATCGAGCATACCGCGCCACTGATACGAATTTCATGCGAACGTCTGACAGTAAATGGCCCCTACACGTTACAGTACACATGGCCCCATGTTACGCGACTTCAGGAATTAATACCGATTAGGAATTAATGCGATCAGTCACGATCGATCTTCGTGAAGGAATTGCCGCTTCATCCAGTAATCTAATAATTAGAAGATTGAAAATCACCCGAGGGACATTTCCGTTATCGACGATATTTCGTTTCGAACAATTCCACGAGTAATTGGATCCTTCGATGAGAGTTTCAAAAAATATAACAGCGTGATAACGGTTTCACCGTCGGGGAACAAGAGGGTGAGGTAATCGCCGCGGAATTTTCAACACGAACAAACGGGCCACAGCGGTACGAAAGCAAAGTATCTCTACCCCGGCTGTAGAAAAGGAAAATGAAAATGAAAATTTATTGGTTTCCAATGTACATAGCCGGGCGTAATCTGGCCTCGACCTCATAAAGTGCTTCTATTTCCACCGCCGAGAGGATCACGCTTGTGTAATCGTGGAAGAAAACCATTAAAAAGAGTACCTAACCGCGGTCCCTCGGAGAAAGAATCGAGATCTCGAGGTCGGTGTCGGTGGTCGTAAAGGGCTGTTAAGGCGGAAGTGCGCCAACATCGCCCAGCCACCGAGAAGCCAACAACCATAATCGAAGCTTCTACATCGTTAATGACTCGGACGAACTTTTCTTACGGAGCTTCTTTTGTTGCCGCTTGAGACTCGGATGATTTTTCAACGTTTTCGAACTTCCTCTGTTCTTCTCAGCGTTTCGTTTCAATTCCCACCCTCTTCGAAAAAATTGAGCGGTTTGGGCAATCCGCGCTTAGAGACCGCAGAGAAACGTAATTATGGTAGTTACATTTCCGCCTCGTGGAGTAAATTTTTTCTCGTTCCATTACTCTGTAAATACCAATTTCAAGGAAATTATCTTTATTCGGTAGTTTAATATTTAATTTTTATAGAGTCTTTCAACTTGGAAGCTGAAGCGATTCGTTCGTTTTTATTTCTCCATTTACTTTTGAATACCGAAAGTTTCCTCTAGGATTCTCGTCGGATCGTACGTCAAGGGCCAGAAGTTCGAAGAAGAGCCCTGGCATTCGTCGGCGATAATTTAATATTAGGACGTTAAACCGCGGGAATCTTCCGCACACGTGGCCCACGACATCTTATGAAATAGATTTTGGCAACGTCAAGCGACGTTCTTGTAAGCACAGCTGAGCACGCGTACACGTGCCTGGTACCATCTGCTCGTGTCACGTTCTTTGCATTCGCGCGTGGGACGTGTAATATCTTTATTATGTGTTACGACCCTTCGAATCCCCTATGTTTCACAAAATTCAACTCTCGCGCCGGGGAAACATATTTATCTCTTTTGCGTCGACGCGCCGAGAATAATCAATCTTCGACTGAATTTATTCTATGATTTCAATCCTTTGCGCTGGCAATTGGTTCGCGGACCGTAACGAGTGACCGAATCGTGTACAATTTGTCAAATCGGACATTTCATTTTCAACAGACTGACGCCGAGTCGGAATTTTTTTTAGAACAAATTAAAGCAAGCCCGCGCCATGACAATATCTGAGGGAAACTGATGACGAAACTAATATTCAAACCAAACGAATGAATCTCCGCTTTGACTGAATTTATGTTGGAATTCGTGTCGTTTATTAAACGTTAAACAACGTTTTGTTGCAACAAATGAACATCCACGCTCCTATCTGTGACGCTTGTTACGAGCGTTAGTGTACGATATGCTCACGAATTTCGCAATTCGGTTTGAACTCACCGCGATAATTCGCAAATCCCGAATCTTTTATACATCCCGAGCGTTTCGCATTCGTGGAGTCACGATACACGAAAACGTCGAGAATAAAACAAAGAAAAAAAAGTTATTGCAACAACTTACCAAGAAAGCTCTCTCGAGAAAATCGCGATCTAGGCTTCCGACTAATTACACGTTACTCCCCTATTTAAGGGTGAAAAGCGTCCAACTGGTGGCTAAAAAGCGTGGTAATTAATGAAGACGTTAGCTCGTTCGAGGGTCCGGTGACGTAGGAAAAAAACCAATAATCCGATAGTCCCCGCGAGACGTTGATTTACGAGTGACCGGTTTCATTACTCTTTCGTGCCGGCTAACACCATCGATGCCGTTCCTCCGCCCCTCGATCGCGCGTGAATCGCTCTCGCTCCGCTTATAATCATAAATCTGTGATTTCTTGTCGATCGACAAAACTCGGGAATTCAGTTCATTGACAATGAGAAAAATTGCGTTTCATTTCTTCTCTGTTTCAGGCGAACGTACGGAAGCCATGCAACGTGACGCCGGATACGTTTCCTGCGGATGTGACGTCAGGCACTGGGCCGGGCTTCTACTTCCGTTCTCGTGGTTTCTAATACTCGCACGAAACAGCCAAACTTTCCTGCAATAGCGCACACTGCAACAGTATTTCACGCGCGTCTCTCCCTGTCTCTCATTCTGTCCCTGTTCTCTCATTCCCGCAACGCGACGCCACGGCGGAGAGAAAGTACCTAGAAATTCGACCAAACGGCGAGTTAGATCGTAAGTTAGATACGTAGAAATTATTGATAAGAGGGTAACGAGGCGCCGCTACGACGTAACGGAAACGCCAGCGTCGTTTGAATCGCCACAAAGCGACTCTCGGCTTTGCACAGATTATTCGGAGGGATTTGCAGGGTGCGCGCTTCGCGAAATAAATGCCTGAAATTAATTTGAGATTAAGTCCTCGATGGAACGGTGAATCGATCACCGGCCGAAGGACCCGTGCGTGAGAAACGTGACGAGTGGACTATTATAATTCTAGCACTTTTTTTTTCGTGGACAGAAAAAATTGACACGTGAAACTTTGTAGAAAGAGATTCCACTGAGAGACTATGTGTGAACGTTTAAAGAATATTAATAATATTATCTATGGAGAAGTAACAATACTGTTTACACTTTACAGAATATCATAAGCCACTCGAGCGATGTAAATAAATTTGTCGATTTTTCTCACACGGTCTTCGTCCCCTTTCAACAACGTGACAACGCGATTTCGCACACCGACATTTGCGAACAACTAACAAGACCAAGTGAACGACGAAACACGACGCAGCGATTGCGGGCACAGCCGAGTGGAATCGATTACGCTAGTTCAACAGGAATCGGGAATTATTGAAACAACCAGGAGCCATCTGCGCTCTCGCGAATCACCGCTCTCCATCTACGAGAGAGAGACTGCTTTAAAACCCGGCGCGCCGCGTTCGTTCGTTTTTGCAATCGGAATGAAAGTAAAATTCAAATATTTGCGCTCGCGGAACGTACGTACGTACATACGGATGGAAATAACGAATCGTTTAGCCAGTTAACGTTATTTTCTGGATCATTCTTCTCTCTCGCACGCGCGTTAAATTCCCGCGACTAAGCGAAAAGGTATTCCCTTTAAGAATTATTAAGGAGAGGTTAAAAGTGATCCGTCGAGGAAAAATGGCTGAGAACGGATGGTCAGAGGAATCTTTTTGGTACAAAATTTATTTTTTACGTAAATAATTCAGCAAGCCGCAAACGACGATCCCCGGTTGGAACGGTCCGTGTTGGAATCCGTCGTTTTTCGCCTTGCGCTCTCGCAATTCGCGACGCTTCTTTGAAAGCGTTCCTCTTCAAGTCAATGGGATTAAAGTGGCCGAGTAACGTCAAAGGACGTGCAAGTAATTTGATATCCTGTATCTTAACTCCGTCGATGTCTGCACCGGTGAGGAACCGGTATTAATGAAATTCTTTTTCTTCATTCGTAACTTGATTCGCCGAGCACGATGAAAATGTAACGCCGGCCGGCTTTTCCACGTAGAATTTTACACGCGCGCAACGATTTTACGCGGTTGTAAATTATTTCTTCACTCGGCGGGTTAAACGAGTCACTGCTTCTCTTCGTCGGGAAATTCCGCTTGCCCGATTTTATTTTACACATCTCTCGGAAGTTTCGTCGATTTTACCGAGAGGAGTTGGAGAGGACGAAATTGATACTAATTTGACGCTAATTGTTCATCTAATCGCGAATCGACAAAAAATATTTTGTATCGGAAGATGTCTCTTCTTTTTTCTTTCTTAAATTGTTGGCAAAAGTGTCGTCAAAATTCTTGTTCTCGTACGAGAGACCAGAAACGTCTGATCAACGACCGATCTATTCTACTTATTCCTGTCCAAATATCTTAACACTAGGATGAAGATTTATTTCAAAATTTTTTCGTCTGATTTCCAGAAGTTAATGACTTAAGTTGATATATAATTGATCAGCTTTTAAACGTTCTTAAACGCGCACAATTTGCACCACGATTAAGATAGTATTTATTATTTGCGATATTGTAAGTAGATCTTTAATCATTACCGACGACGAATTGATCTGTACATCAGATCCACTAGGTTTACAATGGCACGAAGATATTTAACTGTACCTCTAGATTTATTTAACCTTTGTACGATATTTCTGAAATAAAACCCTTCGAACAACATAAATCGTCAAATTCTACTATACCCTAAACTCCCGAATAGTTTAAGACCAGAGCAATTACAGTGATTAAAATGATCGATTGGTCACAGAAATTTGCGAGTTTAGGAAATTGGGGATTCGGTGATGCGTACTTCAGTCTTCACCTTTCTTCCACCTTAAAACGAAAACGCTGCTAAATTGAAAACGAGTTTGAAACGGAATCTGAATGCGAAAGAGAACGCCGATCCTCTCGGGTGAAAATTCAGAAAATCAGTAAGCCCGTGACCCAGAACGAAGTGTCTCGAGGCTCGAATCGGCCGCCGTTCATGACGCTTGAAAAATCGTTTCACGGATGGCGGATTCTCATCGTTCCCGAGCACTTTGATGCGTTATGAATTACAAATAACCCGGGGCCGGTGGTTTTTACGCGGTCGAATGCCAGGGTGACGAACAAATTAAATATTTGATCGTGCTGGTGAATCGGGACGACGCGCCACGTTGCGGGATAGACGAACGTGTTACACACCCTCTCCTCTGCTTTCTGCCCTTCGACACGCGCGTGTCCATCCGTTACGTAATCCTGTCCGATCAGGAGTTTTTACACTCCGCCTCGTCCTTTTCACACGGCTCCGACAACCACCTCCGCGCGACTTCACAATGCCCTCGTGACACTCGAACTTTACGTACCAACGCTGATAAAAGCCGTGACCGCGGCATTATGGATCGTTCGCGTCGAAGCAACGACAGTCAGGATAAATGGAACGACACGGGACGTAATTAAATAGTCAAATGTGTAGGCGTAACTGACACGCGAAACCCTTCTTTGGGATCCTTTTTTCAATTCGATTAAGAATGGGTGACTGGGTATTTCGTGGACTGGAATTTTCCGAATTTTCTTCACGCGTTTCAGTGTACTTTTTTTTTTTTTAATCAGAACGTTGCAATAAAGCTATAAGAAAGTTCGTAGTAATGTAGAAGGTGGATCCTTCGTGGAATCTTCTGGAGAATTTCGAAGGCTATTATTTGATGCGCATTCACGTTCAGCACAAGAATTCGTTGAATCCGTGACATTCCTACAATCTCAGTACAATCGTTCGTTACTCTAACATTTCGCTCCGATTTCTAATTTGCTCTAAACTCGGAAGTAAACGCTTCGAACCTCTGAAACGTCGTCCGACAGCCAGTAAAATACCTTCGACGAGAATTTTTCGAACGCGGGCCACAATCTTTAATCGACCGCCGTGAGGTGATGGGTAAGTTTTGTCCGAGTTTTAGCCGCTGAACAATGAAACCTCGGATCTGCTTGGCGAACCGTTAGAGGCGAAATTTGTTGAAGTCGGGCAAAAAGTTGGCCGGTCGTCTTGCACAGGCCAGTGACACTGGCGGAGATCGGGTGAAATGGTATTCTGCGAGCGCGGAATGGAACGAAACTGGATGGTTTGAGGGTGAACCTGAATGACAAGGCTCTCGACCGGAAACAGTTACCGCTGGCTACACCAGCGACGGTGGTGGTCCTATTTCAGCTACAGTGTGTGCGTGTGTGTGTGTGTGTGTGTGTGTCCGAACTTGAAAAATAATTTAGCACGCAGTAATGTCCTGAATATAAAATTTCTCGGGCCAATTCCTAGGGGGCGGAAAGAGCGGGATCGGGCTTCCGGCTGGATTTTCATTTATAAATTCCGAAAACTTCGAGGCTAGAGATCTCACGTGAAATTGCTTCAGGCACCGGGAGGCGAACAGATGGAAAGGGATTGAACCGCGGGTCTTCTAAATTAATCAGCGCCGAGCTGCAGAGAAAATTCTTTCGGATTTAACTCTCCAGCAGGGTTAAATAATGGCCTGTGATAATCACTCACGCTGGGTCGCGGTCCCAGGTTTAATTCTCGTGGATCTTGAGCGATCGGGTCGATGCTGTTACTCGTTCAATTTCTAACGTTCGCGAGATTGAAATTGAGAGCGATAATTTTCTAGTTCTTTTTACTGCTGAAAAGAACCTAGTGCTTTTCAGCGTTTCGTTTAAAAGCGTCGAGCTATCCTGCCAGTGGTGAAACAGGTTGCTGACTTCACCGAAATTTCATCCCTCGATCTAGACTGTTACTGAAGATCTGCGCGACGTGGTGGACACCGATTTCTGTGACTAATTAACAGAAACTTATTTCTCGACGTTCAACTAATAACTGTAACTTTATTCAAAAGCTACGAACACAGGAAAACTTTACTTATATTTCGAAATACTTCAAAAAATGTGAAATGTTCAAGATACTCTGATTATCTACAAATTTCGAGTATATATTATCCACGTTATATGAAAAATGTGACATAAAAAGATACATATATATATATATTTTTTTTAATGGAAAAGATACATTCCAAATATCGATAAGTCGTAAAACTCGGAGGTTTAACGACAAATCGAGATTCCCGTGTGTTCGAGCGACAATACGCATTGGAACTGGGCGATCCTCAGGATCGTTTAAAGTATCCGTTTAAAACGATGCGAAGGGTAAGGATAAAATAACGCTAAATTTACGACGGGTCGTGAATCAACATGCTTTATGATTGTTCGGTTTGCGAATGATAAAGGGCGAGAGAGAAAGAAAGAGAGAACGGAGTAGTAGGTAAACCATAGAGGTCGAACGAAGAGAGGAGAGAGGATGGGCAGGGTGAAAATTGGAAAACTGCATTGTCCAGCCGCTCTCTTTCTCTTTCTCTCTCTCTCTCTCTCTGCTCCCGAGGGACACATTCGTTAGCGGCATCGTCCACCGGCAATAAATTTCGCGTATCTTCTACATTGTCTTTCATCCTTGCTCAAATTAAAGATCAGCTCGATTCAGCAAATGCAGCAATAACAACAGCGCGATGCTTTGTGAAAAATCGTGTATCGATTAAGAGGACGTTAGTATCTAACAGACAATTGTTCAAACGAGTATGTTATGTATTTATACTAACAATTATACGTGTATCATTAAGGCGCAGAATATTTTTAGTTTTAATTATCCAATGCTCACTCGTACGAACGTCTCACTAAATATACACACGTAAATGTACAAGTTTCAAAAATTTTTTTACTTTAGCGATATAATCACGATAGCTGCGCCTAATTCTGTTGCTAACTAATAATTGCAGAATAATTTATATGAAATGTACATCACTGAGAGAAAGAATGGTCATCGCAGATAAGAAAAGTGACGAGGAATCAATAACGTGCGCGATTAATTCATTTGTTTCGCCGAAGGGTGAGAAATTTCTGCCGTTCGAATGTCTCGCAATCGAATGGGGAAATGACAATTAATTTTCACCGTCATTTGCCTCGTTACCCGGCAAACGAACGCGTGCGATTGTGTTTCCCATAAAAAAAAGTGTTTGTAATCTTGCTTTGTTGACGCGCGATTCAATTTCGCTGTAACGAATAAACACCAGCAAACGAATGTCCCGTTTTCATCGGGCGACCAACCCGCCCACGTTTCGCCCCAATTCGATAGATCCGCGTGAATAGCTACGAAAAACTGGGCCGATTTAAAGCCACTGTTCGCCGCGCGGCACCGAATTTCGTTAAGTGACGTGATTTCGATAAAAATTCAATTTACTAAAGTAATCTGCCGTGTTATGGCTATCGATATTTCTGTCAAAAATCAACCGGGGGAAGTTGAAAAAAAAATATATATATATAGAGAGAGAGAGTTGCCTGTCTTGTTGATATCGGTCGGTTGTGTTTTCCCAATTTTCCCCAAAAAATGGAAAAAAACCCGGCGAATTGAATGTTTTTCCGTTCGAACGAAAAACTTTTGTTTTTCAAACAATCGGTACGATTTATTACGGCTTCTGATTCCATTTGGATGGTTTGTTGAAGATTCGTTTTCTTGTCGAGAGAATGAAGAAAAACAAAAAAAAAAAAAAAGGAAAGAGAAAAAAGAACTCGCTCTATAAAAGACGGAACGCATCTTGGATCGTTAACTCGCGATTCAGTTTCCCCGTAACGAATAGTCAAGATCCACCGAACGCTTGCAGCCTCTGCCAGCCCTCTGAATCGCGGACGAAAGCCCGGAATTGCTCTCGACTATCGAAAAACAATTAAACCGGTAAAATATCGGCAAACAGGGCTCGATAGACGGCTGATATTTTATATCAGTCGGAGTTTCTCTCGACTTTTCCCACTGGTTTACGCGAAATATCTAACGACTCTTTTCACTGTCATATTCATACGCTTTCGTAACGACAAATCGAACGACCGTGCACAAATCATTTTCGAAAAGATTCACTTTCAGTTGGTGCAATGGGAAAACGCAATTTCCAGTCGTCGAAACTATCACAGTTGACACTCACTGTTGCATGTCCTTGAAAACTATGCGACTCGTCGATTTGAGGAAAGAAGAAAAAAAAAAAAAGAAATATTAACAAATCGAAAAATATTCGCAGAAGATTCGTGCGAGAAGATTGCTTTTCGTGGGAAGTTTCCAATAAAACTGGAACTAGTCGGAGCGGGGTTATCGAACGTTCGTGCGCAATCAACAGAGATTAGCGACCGCGAGATCGGTTCAACGACCGTTTGAAAAGTTGCTCGACCGTGGAACTATTTAAAAGACGAGTCTAGTACGGTTTCCGTTCCGCGATACGTTCCTACTCCCCTCGAAAAGCCCCGTGATCATGTAAAATTGATCTAGCCACGCGTATATCGACAATTTCCCTCGATTTTTTCTCATTCTTTCTCTCTCTCTTTCTCTCTCTCTTTCTTTTTCCCTGTCCCTCGCTGTTTAATCAGTGCACACACGAGAACGACGAGTTTCACGCGCTGGAAACTACTTCGTGCGTAAACTCGTACGCTTGTCGGACCGATGGAACAACACGACTACGTTTTCAACTGTTGTCGCCATCGGCGAATCGGTTGCTTTTCAATGACAAAAGGAAAACTGCCGAACCTCTGCAGCGCGAAAGTGAGAAAAAAGGATCCGCGCGCATTTACACCAAAGTCCCCCCCCCCGTATCACGTTCGTTGTTAAGTCCCTGATGAGACAGGATTATTTGAGCCGAGCGGGTCTCAAGCGATTTTAATTATTCAAATTTATTTTAATTTCAGCTAATCTACATTTCGAAAGTTCTATTTGACTCGTTACTGCGCAGCGTGCATACGAGCGGAACGTTCGACATAGTTTTCCGCGAGGATATAATTTCTGCTCATTAAACGGAAAGAAGTTTGCCCAATGTTAATATCCTCAGTGATTATTATAATATAATAGCGCGTGCATGTTGCTTCGTTCGCCGCAAGTTATTTTCACTTAGTTCTATAATTATCCGAATCCGAAACGTTTTCTGGTAATTACTCGAAATTTCCTCCCTTTCTCAACGTAAACCACGCAATATCCCAATATCGATGTTACCACGTCGGAGAGGAACAAAGTCGAAGCAGAAGACTTGATAACATCTCGCTCTATCATTAGTAAAGAAAAAAAAAAAAAAAAAACGAAAAGAAAAAGAAAAAGAAGATATGTACCAATATCTGTTTCATCAGCAGCTTGGTCGCCGTCGTAAGTTCTTCCCTCGAATAAATCTACAATCTCGAATGCTCTCACCTACAACAAAAGGAAGCGAAATTAAGAGAAAACGTAACCGGAAGGGTGGAAAAATAATTCCCGCGGGGAAACACCGAGTGACGCAGCACGGTGGGGCGAAGCACGAAGAAAGCTAAGTTTTGACAAGGGGAACGAAACACGCATAATCGGAAGTCGGGGCGCGTGTTTTCACCATCCCTTGCCCCGTCTTCCTTTTTCACTCTCGGTCCATTCGACGGAGCAAATTCGACAGGATCGTGGCGAGTGATTGTATCAAATCCTGCAGTACCTCAGTGCATAGTTCCATGCGCTGCTATTCACGCGGCGAATAACGTCGTGAGACACTTTGGGGGGGGGGCACTACTCCCCCCCGGTCGATTGTTTTTCGGCGACGGGCGAAATTGATTACTCCGGTGTCTGGGGAAATATGACGTAATGGCGCTTTGTCGTAAGCGTATTATATCCGGGTGTCCTCTTCCTTTTCCATAATTTTTCTTTTTTTCTCTCTCCTTTCTTTTCTTTTCTTTTCTTCCCTTTCTCACTTTTCTTCCCCTCTTTTCACACGTCGTCGTCGCCGTCGCCGTCGTCGCCGTTCTCCCCGCGAAAAGCAGGCTTGAGAGATTGAATCTGAAAATGTTCCGAGGAGAATTTGACATTTGCGAGATTAAGTGATACTTCTTGCGGTCGTGTTGCCGCTGACGATGATAAATCATCGGGATCGAATTTTCGAACGGTTGCTGCGCCCGGTCCGGTACCGCTGGAATTTTTAGGTTGAGTACCATCGATCACCTTTCTCTCTTTTCTCCCCCCTTCCCTCAACTCTGGCGTATCCATTCTCTCTCTCTCTCTCTCACTCACTTGCTCTCACGTTCTTCTTTTTTTTTTGATTCTATTTTTCTTTTTTCCCCCTGCTCTCTCTCTCTCTCTCTCTCTTTTTAAATGGTCGATGCTGTTTGGTAACCGTTCGACGTGCAAACAACAAATTCGTTTCTATTCCTGGAGCGAGGAATTGCGTCGAACGGTTGTGCAAACGCTCGAGTAATTTGCGTATCGCTTCGGCCCCGGGACAACGTGTCGATAAGAAACTCGCGCTTAAGCAGGAAAGAGGGGAGAAAAAGGAGGATACAGTTGCGATGCAACAGAGAGATTCATTGTTGGCCCCGGGGATAAGGTGGAAAATGAAATGCCAGAGACGAAACGAAACGAAACGAAACGAGAAGCAGAAGAACGGAAGAAGAAAAATAAAAGGAAAAGAAAACACGGACTGGAATGATTGAGAAACTGATATTGAAATACGGGAGTAACGAACTGCGATAGTCTGGTATTTTTTTTTTTTTATATCATCATTACATTTATTGAAACAGTATTCACGTCGATGAATATCTTTACAGTATAATAGTCTGCACTCGTTCGCCGCATTTTATACCTCTCTGCCACTTTGATTCATACTGACGTTCCTCTATAACATGGTACATTGTCGATTATGAATTTTTTTTTTTGCCGTTTTCTTACGTGTGTGTGTGTGTGTTTTTTTTCTTTCCTCCTCTGGATTTTTTTTTCCTGTTTCTCTGTTAGTATGTACAATGCGATCTAGGCTTAACTATAAATTGTGCAACATTTCGTAATTATGCGAGTCGCGGATATCGATTATCTAGTGACACAATTAACGTGTAACGTGTTCTCCCCTCGATATTTTTCTGTTTCGTTTTCTTTGATTATCAGCGATTTGAACGCGCGTTTCGAGCGGGGCTACGGTTACCGCTTCGTTTTTTTTATTTGTTTTATTTCTCGCGCGCGAGATCATTACCCTGATCTTCGCGTAACGTCGAACCCAGATCGTTATAACCGAACGCCATTCCAAAGGAGCGAGACTCGATGAGTACTCGTGATCCGGGAACAAACAATCGAAAAATCGAAGGAAATTTGCCTCCTCTCTCATCGATAACGACTATCACGACTTCTCCCCCCCCCCTCCTCCCTAGTTATTTCAATCCGATTGTAACGTCCAACACTAAATTCCCTATCTCCGAATAATATCACACACGGGGCAACGTTCGAGGAATTTCAGTTTTAGAAAACTGGCGCCTGATCGATCGTTTCGTTTCTCGCGTCTCGTTCGATCGTTCCCTCCTTCCATTCTTTGTCAGTTCGCTCTTTTTCCTTTCTCGTTCGTTTCAAACAACCAGTTTTAACCATCCTCACACGCGTCAACTTTAAAATATTGTCCTCTCACAACGACATAAATTACCGTATAAACTATACAAGAAGGAATAATATATCGTATCGCGGACCTCATGCTGCGATAGTCCACACACTGCGAAGCCCGTGCAACGTAACACCGCGTTATTCTGGCAGTCCGTCAATCTGGCAGTCCGTTTTCTCGCCCACGTGGTACAACGTTATAAAAAATCTATTTTAGACCTATGGTTAAGTCGCGTCTTAACACGCTATACCGATTTATGATATCTTCTCTTTTCACCCTTACACGTTACGTTATTTTTTTTTTTTTTTCTTCTTTATCTGTAATAAATCTATTAATTAGAGTCGCTACCGGCGTCGTGTTCTTAGTGTCTCGCGTTGAATGTCCTAAGGAGAGTCGACAGACGAAGAAGGAACGAGGAGAAAGGAATAATAATAATGAAAAAGAAAAAGACAACAATTCGCACCAGCAGAACTATATCACGAAACAACGAAACTCCTAGTAATACTGATTTATCCTGACAATAATTCGATGCTTATTCGAGATAAATGGTAAATTCTCACGCACGTCGAACGTGCCTCTCTTTACTCACGTAGTAACAGAATGCTCCTCGTTCGCGCAACGAATACCTATTAGCGATACTCTTAAAAATCGTACACGTACGCTTATCTACACACGAGCCCTATTACGCGCAAGTCGCGTTCGTAGAATTGAATAACTCTTACAAGGTAATTTTCCCGCCGTTTTTAGAGCGTGATTGCACGATCACTTCTTTTGATTAGACGATCGAACGATAAAAAGGAGAAAAACAAGAAAGAACGAAACCAACGATCGCGACGCGACCGCGAGCGAAGGAGACGAAGGGACGTCCCCTCGAAAAAGAAGAAGAAGAAGAAAAAAAAAAAAAAGAAAAACGAAGCACGAATGAAACAACCCGCGACCCCTAAGAAACAGAGAGTGAGCTGTGAAACCGTGACGTGAGCAACGACGAATCGACACGCTCGCTCTTCCCTTTCACCGAGCTCTCGCCAACAAACAGAAACATATCGAGCGTGATCAACGTGTTTGTCGTTTCTAAAAGAAGAGCGAAGACGTTTCACGCGCTTCCGTTACTAAGAATCGTGCTGATTAACTTTCGAGTCAGATTTGGGCAAATTCGTCTGACGACAGACGTTGAAGGTTCCACACTCTGAACGTCCCATACGCGAGAACCTTTATGTACAAACTGCGGTTGCCCAGATCCGACGACGACGTTGCTTCGTAATTAACCGTCGTCAGACACGTTGTACTGTACAAGCCGAACCGTCGCGACAAACTCCATCGACGAACGTCCTCCCTTCCTCATTTATATACAGAGAAACTTACTTAGGCTACCTACACGATTTAATGGTAATTAATCGGCTACCCCAACGGTCGGATCGTTGATCCGAAAAAAGGTTCGACTTCAGCGCTGGTTTCGACTGTTTCAACAGTCTCGTCCGATCCGCTCGATCCGTTCAGAGTCAACGGAGACGCGTTGCTAAGTAAGCACACGCTGGACACACTCGTTCATCGATCGCATCCGTTCCTCCTGCAGTCTCTCCCGCGAGACTCTCTCACTCCTGGTGCGTTTGTCCTTCTCGCGAGTTCACAGAGACCAAGCCAGGGACGAACGACCCTGTTCTTTCACACACGACGATTCGCGAAGGAAATCACATCACCGACGATCAACGCGGGGTGGGGACGGGACGACCAACGCAAGAACGTGGGCCGGCGTCGACCCGTCCGGGGAAATTGCTAGAGGGACAGACACAGAAGGAATGAATTTTACGGTAAAAACGTACGTGTGCGCGAAGTCGGGCTCTCCGCTCTTTCGTGTCACTGCGTTCATCACACATGGCCAAATCCCATTGCACTTTGTCCATCTCACGGCCTAGATCCGTTTCTTTCGCTCTCTTTCGTCGGGAAATCTCGCGCGATCGAGAAACGCACGATCTAGCGCGCCTGTTAAAGAGGAACGGCGGTCCCCTTCGTTCGCGTTTTATCTTTCTTTTCTTTTCGTTATTCTTTTTTTTTTTTTTTTTTTTTTTCTTTCTTTCAACGATGCCCGGTGATCTCTATGGTACCTGCGTGCCACGTACGGATCTCTCGGTCTACCAGACGAGACGAGCTCGAGCCAGCCCGGGGCTTCCAAGTCGCGCAGCTCACGAGGATACCGCTCACCTCAGCAGATTCGAGATCACCAGGGTAAAGGTTGCTAGTAGAATGGTCGGCGTGACGCCGCAGCTTCCGCCGTGTTGCATCGCCGCTGGATGTTCCCCTGCAACAGAAAGAATCCTCCGTTACAGCCTCTGTTCACTTTCGCGGACTTTTTTTTTTTTTTTTGAACTTTTCTCCCCCGTCTTCAACTTTTCTAAACACGTAAAAATCCGAGAGTTTTCGTAGAATTATGTCTGCATTCTTCCTGCACTGCGTTACAGATTTATATACAATAGCTCCAATTTGTTCGCCGATAATTCTAGTATTAACACTTCGAACTATGTATCGAATTTCACATTGAATTCCACGTACTCTTTATGATTTTGCAATCAATTTACGTGCTATATCGCAAATTTCGTCGTGATACGTACATATTTTTTCCCTTTAAATATTATTATAAAGATGGTTCAACGTAACAATCGTAACGTTCAACGTCTACCAAAACGTTTCACCGCTTCGAAAATCGTTTCCCAACTTTCTCGTCTCGCCGACCGAAACGAGGCTGCTCTGCGATGTCGAGTAGCGATCGGATTATTTAACAGGCAGACAACAGGCAGTCGATCGGTGCCAGAGCAGCCAGATTCGCAGGCGAACGATGCCAGATGTAACTAGCCACCGAAGCAGCCAGCAGCGGAAAGCACGAGGCCAGCAGAAGCATCGAGGCAACGTTAATCACAAACTATCCCCTCGGCTCGGTCATCCCGATCTCCATACATACATTTCATATATCCAGACAAATGTTAACGGTGTATCGGTCGGATGAGCGTGGCTCGATGTGTACGCAGCATCCGGCAGTAATAAAGATAATCACCAGCGGTGTACACACACACACGGTGTGTGCTATGAATAGTTGTGCGTGTCGGCTGATTCCTCGCGCGCGTGTAAACCGGCAACGTGGCCAGCATCGTTGCGATTTACGACCCGGTGGAAAATCTCGTTCGGCCGATTTCGAAGGGCGCAGCTAGCAACGATGCTGCGTCCACGTCGCGAAAAACGACATCGTTCGTCGTCAAGCTACGGTGTGGGTTTCGGGCCACCCTCCTCCGGCTGGTAATTGCGTTAATGCGCGGATAGTGCACGCCGCCACGGATAATCCTCGCGGATCCGCGCCGCGTCGATTTATCGCGAAATAATTGAAATTTGCGGTCAATTTTGCCGAGTAATCAGCTGTGTTTGAAATAACGTCGACGCGCCGCCGTTGCCGCGCTACATCCCTCGGCGTACCCGGCACGATTGTAAATTAATTATGCAGACGAACTGCGCTGCATTAATTTTCATTCGGCGTACACGCGTAGGTGTCCGCGTTTTGCTTTGCTTCGGCCGCGAGTCCACGTCGCGCGGCACCAAAAACACTCGACGACGACGCTCGATACGAAAGTGGATTGTATGGTGTCTGGATCGGCAATAGAAAGTATGCTCGATCGATATCAGTTGATGGAGTCGCGCGAGTCCTCACGAAGATTCAACCTGCAGGTTGATCTGCTTCTCATTGTGCGGTGTGATATTGCATGATGGAGAAAGTTCATTCTTATCTCGTTATTCTCCTAATTTGACTTTAATATTCGACACTATTCAGACTGCATTCTTCGTTTTGAAATTTGAGGAAAATAGTGCATAAGAAGTAAAACAGCTAATTGTTTAACGTGTTTGAGTTCTGGTTTCTTTTTTTTTTTTTTTTTTTTTTTTGAAAAA